GGGCTGACTTATAGCATTTCCCTCCCCCGCCCCGAGCATAAACTTACAGCCACGAGGTGGGGGGGGGGGGAAGCAGTGGGGTGCCAACGCCCACTCCCTAACTTGCTAACACTGCCGACCCTACTGCCCCCGACTCCCCTCGCCCACCCCCATTTTACCGTTTTATCCTGGGATGAAGCCTGGAACTCTGGGAGCAATTTTCTGGGCATAGACTGTTTTGGTCCCCGGTGGACTGGTTTTTACTGCACTGCGTCTTGACACCTTGTCGTCTGGGGTAGGCCTGGTGACTCATAGGAGCAGCCCCCCTAGAAGGTTCCTGTATTAGCTGTGAGATGCTGTGATGGTCAGGCTCCCTACTTCACTTAATTTCTTCTTAGGACCCATGGAGAAGTTTCGCTTAGTCCTAAGTACATCTACTCGACATAACTGTTCCTAGCTTATGGACTCTTTAAATTGAGTCATGCTTGCTTACCTCTTGCTATTGGCAACTAGGAAGCTCAGTGGTAATTCTTCCCCTTCATACTAGCAAATTCTAGAAGACCTTAGGGCATGTGTGAGGCTCCTGACCATACTTCTGGCTTCCTTCATCTCTTACCTCCTCCTCATTTGCCTTTGCTCTGATTTCCTCAGTTACAAATGTAATGTACTGCTTAAAAAAAAAAAATAAACTGCTTTATTTTTTTTTGGCTGAGGAAAGTATGGATTCAAAATGCACCCCCCCCTTTTTTTTTAAGAGTTCCATTAGAGTAATTGAAGGATACTGATGTGATATTAGGAGTAAAAAAGTCACTACTGACTTGTGTTTTACCCATTATTGGTGCTAAGCTTTTGAAAACCATTAGAGGAGAAAACAAAAACACCCTCCTGTTCCCTCTGCCTTTCTTTAGCTTAAAAATCTCTTGGGTCTGAGGTGGTAGGAGCAGCCTTCCTGGATATGGTTTTAAAGAGTGTCTATATTTGCTGATATTTCCCTCTCCTTGGGAGGACAGTTAAGTCAACGCATATTCATAAACATCTTTTTAGTACAGAAATGTGACCAGGAATAAACACCCTCTCTGTGAATCAGCAGCCAGTTCGCTCCATGGTTTCTAGGGCATGGTTTCTCCACAGGAGCAATGTTCATGGAACCCCGGACCAAAGATCTTCCACGGACGAGATACTTGGAGCCGTGGGCTTCTCTTGTGCCAAAGCTGCAAGCTTGGTGGAATCCTCTTGCCGGCCCTTTGCCTCCTGCCCGCCTCCGCTGGCCTTGGGCCGCCAGTCCTGCTGGTGCCCTCTGCCCCCCCACCCAGGGTCTGGGCTCTTACCTTGCCTGTCCTGTGAAGCTGTCCAGCACAGCTGCTGCCTCAAGGTAATGTGTTGTTGTGGAGCTGCATCCGGGTTGATGATGGGATCAAGTTCCCCCCTTCCCCACCCCCATGCGATTTTCAAAACAGGAACAAGTGACTTGAGGATACTGGATTCTTCTTAAAATATCTTAAAAGGCAAGAGTGATCAACCTCTTATATCATTGTCCCCTTTGCAGTCTTTCCTTCTCTTTCCTTCAATAGGGAAATCGTGTAAGGGAACTGCCACTGAGCTGGAAGACTAGCGAGTGACGAGAGAGCTGAAAGCTCTTGTAGGCCCAGCTTTGACAGGTACAACCGTTCAAGAGTCCTCCTTCTAGATTTAAAAAGCCTCAGCAGGTTCAGCCCCACAGCACAGCACATCAGTTTGGGGGCCCTTCTACATAGAAACCCACCGCTTTTGTTTTTCTTTGTGGAATGCATGCAGTGTAGTCCCGTAAGAAAACGGGAGAGGCCGTTCACAGCCTGGAAACTGGCGTGGGTAACAGAACACTACCGTGCAGCATGCCGGCGTAGGCCCACCGTTCCCATCAGTTCGGACACTGAGGACTTAGATGAGGCTCTTCCTCAATGTTACGTGCTGGCTGTATAGCTGGGTGGCCCAGCATACCATTTTCTTTTTTTAAAATATTTATTTATTTTTGAGAGAGAGAGAGAGAGAGAGAGAGAGAGAGCATGAGTGGGAGAAGGGCAGAGAGAGAGAGGGGGAGACAAAGAATCGAAGCAGGCTCCAGGCTCTGAGCTGTCAGCCAGAGCCTGATGCGGGGCTCGAACTCACAGACCGCGAGATCATGACCTGAGCCGAAGTCAGACGCTTAACCGACTGAGCCACCCAGGCGCCCCCGGGCATACCATTTTTAAGTTGTGTGTAAACTGACTATTAGTGTTTTCAAATAAAAGTCTGGAGCCTCTTTTTCATTCTCAGAGGCTAACAAAATCGTGTGTTCTAACTACGGGTTACCTATGCTGTGAAGTCTTTGCTTAGTAAAAACAGCAGAGATACAACCACATGTCTGCAATTTCCAACATTATGTCCTCAGAAGAGAAAAATTATTACATTTGATCCTTTATAGATCTGTAGGTATGACAAATACAACCGTTCACTCTGTTTATTAAATCTTTAAAAGGAATATGTTTTTCATCCTTAAGTAAATGTTATCAAAATTTAGAAAGAAAGGAAAACTAGGCGACGTTGGATGTTGTAGTGATAATGTCTTGGCTGTGACTGGTCAGCATTCTGTGACATTAATTTCAAATCACTCAAGAAAAATGGAAAATGTTCTGAGGTAAAATTCACATTTTCCTTCTCTGTCCCATCACATGAGCTAAAAGGGGTGAGGTGGGGTGGGCAATGTCTGTATCTGTAGGCCAGGAGGATCCCTGAACCTATCTTTGAGAGAGCTTAGCCTATGAAAGACTGACATTTAAGGTAATTTTCTGTAATGTCTCTCGGGAAGAACTTTGAAAAGCCGTTAAAAAACTGTTTCACTGGGAGAAGGTCACATTTCATCTGTATGATAAATGTATCAGATTCGAAGGGAGTGTCATAGTAGTAAACTGTGAATTTAGATCAGATTAAAACTGTGAATGCATTCATGGGAACTTTTTATTCTCTAATTTCTAAAGGTTAGAAATTAAGGTGTGAAACTGGACCAAAAATTTTTAGTGAATAAGATAAACACAATTTAAAATAAAAAAGTTATACAGATAAACCTCAAAACCTAGAGAAACAGTTAAAAATATGAGGGACATTTGCTGCATAGCTTTTTTCTGAAAAAAGAACACATTTAGGTACTGGGCTAGTTCCTTCTGAGTATCATAAATTCAGAGGTATGTCGATATATTCTTACCCTTTAAAAACACTTTGTTTACACTCAGTCTTAACAAAATACCACAGGAAACCTGAAGAAGCTAAAACGTGACAGGCTACAAAGACGCAACATTTGCAGTGGAGAAAGAGAGATGCATTCAACAAATCAGCTTCAGCTGGGCCTTCCCTTGATCACAATCCTAATCTCAACACAGGAGGCAGCAAGGCCTTAACCAGTGCCCTTTCTGTGTGAACCCTACCTGTACGAGGTGGGGGGTCTAGTTAGGTCAGAGCGGGGAACGGGGGTCCTGCTCGTGGGCAGTCATGTGAGCTGAAGTCCTGGTGCCATGTGAGGGTCCTCCAGGGCTCAATGGATTTTGCCTATTGCCTTTGTTAGGCAATAAAGCCAGAATGTTTCCAGTGAATTCCCGGTTTCACAAACAGTAGTTGTTGCACATCAGGGAGGTGCCCTGCTGTCACACCGATGCTGTCGGGTGGCGTGTGTGAGTGCTGACAAGCTGGGTCGGTGGGTATTGACTAGTGACAGTAGCTGTTAAGGATCATAGTAGCTGTGTTCCAGAGCGAAGAGGAAGACTCAGGAAGGCCAGAAATGAAGTCATGTGTTTCATTTTAGAGAACTGGCATGTTACAACTTAGTGGAATTACATGAACTCCTCTCTGCCCCCACCTCCCCCAGACTGCTGGGCCTACCCATAATGCCAGTAGGAACGCATTACATCTTTAGAGACCATCTCAGATTGAGTCAATGGAGCAAACATGTTATTTCACCACTCTTGTACCATCAGTGATGTGTTCACCAGAGTCCACCAGTGTGCCCTGTAAGTAAGAGAAATTACATGGATTCTTGACTATTTGTGGGCAGATGTCTAATACCTAGTGTTTAAAATCCCAGGGTTAGTGGATGAAATGGAAGCACGTGGGTTTTGAGCATGAGCTTTCCCAACCCGGGTTACGACTCAGACTTCTGTCACAAACTTACCCGGTGTAGACAGGAGTGTAGATGACGAAGAGTGGCGGTATCTTTGTCTTCTGTCCTTTTCCCACTTCTCTGCTCTTAAAGGGGCCTAAAGGCAAGTGAATGGAAAACAGTCGCCAAAGGATAGTATAGAAACAAAACTGGCCTCTAGGTGGTGCTTGAAAGCAGTTCAGGGAAGGCTGGCCTCCTTCAGGGTGAAGAGTATAGGTCGGCTGAGCCCGAGTAACCTGCCAGCTCCTGGGCAGAGTCTCCAACAGACTGCCATCACCTGTTCTAGCCTCTCCAGGTGGCTCACTGGGCCGCTTCTAATGCATTTCTTTTTTCTCCTCTTCCTGGGCCTGTAAGTTTGGATTCTATTTTTGTGTATAAATCACCACTGTTAGCCAAAGTTGTCAAACTAGAGGGGGAGAACGCACTGGACCCCAAAGCTTTTGCTGATCCGAGGTTGTTTTGCCATGAAGCCTTCCTCTGAAACATCTGCCTGCTTCTGTCATGGTTCCCTATTTGCCCAGCCCAGTCTTGCCCAGATGGGGCAGGCTGGGCCTGCAGGGGCCAGGCTTCCGTTGGCCTGCAGGTGGAGTACTGCCTAAGGGAACGGCTTATCCTTATTTTGGATGAAGTTCTTAAAAAGGGATCACAGCTGCTACACCTGATATCAGGTACTAACCTTTAATTCCTGTTAAAACCTTTGCCAGCAATAAAAGCAAAGACACGCCCCTGCCCCACCCCCTGTAAATCATCCTAAGATGTGGGTGGTTGTGTGAATCCTTGAAAACAGCCTATTCATACACACATGCTCACTGAGAAGCAAACTCTAGCATAAAAATTTAAGAATCTGTAAATCCAGTCCTTTTAACATATACTTTTTTTTTATTAAATATGTAAAAAGATAAACGCAAGTCAAGTTATTCACATATTCAGAGACAAAAAAAACTATTCTACCATGCGACAATAGGCGGGTAATGTAAAATGAATGAGATACATCTGAATAAGACTTTTTCATCTATTATGTCATTACTTATCTATATTTATAATTAACAATACATATGTTTACATTCCTTTCAGTTTACATTTAATATATAACAAAAGCTTTATGGTGTACTATTTAGTAAAAGTAATCTGAATGCATATTAAACCTTAACGGAATAATGGAAATACTCACCAGGGAAGGGAGGAGTTCTTGGTTCCCTTCTGGAGTTTACTTCTCTCTGGTCAACAAGGTGTTTGTCTTTTCTTTTTCTGCTTTTCTGCTTAGAAAGAAGAGGGGCTCGCTCTCTCTGCCCCCTGCTTCAATCACTTCCTATCTGACATGAGCAGCAGAAGTGCTATAACCAGCCACAGGTGTGTGACTAAGAACGAAGTCTGGCTTCTGAGAGGGAGGGGGAGCACACGAAGGGGTACTTCTCAGCCCAGCGTGAGGATGCGCCATAGGGGGCCGTGGAGTACGGCATGCCCTGGATGCTGGGATGGGAGAATGATGGGGTGCAGTCCTCAGGGAGGAAGGAGCAGCCCTGGTAAAGGAGACGCGGTCTGCACAGAAACAGGGGTGCAGCCGAAGAAGACAGAGCTAGCTGTTAAAGATTTCCCGAAGTATCCGTGATGTCACGTGCGATACGGCACAATGGAAGAGGTTTCAGATGGAGACAGAAAGAGGAACTTGTAGCTCTTTTCTAAATCAATGAATAGTTGGCTCCAAGGCTCTCTCATGGAGAATGAAGTATGACCCCTGGGGAAGGGGAAGGTATCGGGCCAGTATGTTTTTCCAGCTGAGAAGGCTGGGGCTGTTGGGGACAGAGCAGTGGTCACTTGTGAGGCTGAGGCCAGTTGCACATGATCACACAATCACCCACATGACAGGAGTCTGGGTCTCACTCCCCGTGACACTGGGTATTACTGAGATGTCCAGAGTCGGCCAGGAACTGCCCAGGAAACACTAGAGTATCATCGGCATGGAATTACTTACTGTGCCTCTTTACAAAAGCTATTTTTTGACAAGGAAACTCAGGACAAAAGGCCAGGAGGAGACCACACCATTAAGCATGATGCCGCGTATAGCACAACCACTACCTGTAACCAGGTGTGGGAGGGATGTCACTGCCGAGAGCCAGGCTTTCCAGCCTGAGAGAAATGAGCTGCCGCTGTTGTGCAGAGCAAGCAGGAGAGAGAAGAAAGGGAAACCAAATACCACAGAACCTCTGTCCAATTCTGCACAGTGTGTTGTAATAACCTCAAAAATACACTCTTTCACATGTAACTCGGATACCACGTTGCTGCAAAAGATTTTGAGAAGACTTCTTTTGGTGGAAAGCTTCAATGGTGGAATTGAGAATTAGTTCATCAATTAATAAAGAAATGTCAAAGCTTTAGGATACATAATTCAGAAATTTATTTTAAGCTTCAGTTAAGAGGCAAGTGGGGTGGGCACACTTGTTTGGCTTGCACCTGCTAAGTCAAATAACAAGTGAAGTAAATCTGAAGTTAGAAACCAAGTGAAATGAATGATCCAGGAAGGGATACCATCTGTCAAAGGAATAAAAGAGGCAGATTTGGAAAGATACTAAGAAAATGTGCAAATATTTGTTAAAAAAATAAGGAATGCTTTTAATTCATTAATGTTTCCTCTCTTTATGAATTGCCAAGGTTATCAAAGGTCAATGACGAGGAGGGCCACAGTATGAACGAGGGGAGATTCCTTATTCCAGAAGGTATTGGGAGTCCTAGAGTTTCCTGTGCTGTCATTCCAGTGTCAACACCAGACTTGGGAAGATGGCGTCTCCCTTGGAATGATGCTCCTAGTAAGGTGGTCTTCACTTCCAGCGAGTGTGCAGCTCCCTGCGGAACGCTGACGCTCACGCGCTCGGGCCACACACCCTCAGGGCATTCTACAGGAGGAGTCCCCTAGCGTGGAGGACAGGCTTTGGGCGGAGACTCAGAGAGAGGCAGGAGGACCGGGACCTACGCAGACCCCCTCTGGACTGTAGCTGACTGACAGCTTACAGGGAGAGGGGCTGCCCACCAAAGAGGACCCTGAGAAAGAAAATAGCATGAGAACCTGGGGGCGGGGCCCGCCCGCCGGGCGGGGCAAGCAGTTGGAGAGCTAAGTTGAGATGGTGTTGTCCTTGAGTGAATGTCTTTCAAAACTAACTGTGAGTTTGTCTAACATGCTCAGGGAGAAACACTGGGCCCTGAAGTCCTAGTTTTGATTCTTTTTTTTCCCTTAAGTGTTGGGAGTAGAGGGAGAAACTGGTTTTCCCTATAAAACAAGTCACTGTCCTTATGGCTTTCATATCAAGTATCTCTTTCCCTTTGTTCCAATTTATTATTTGACCAAATTTATGTTCAGAGGTTAGACTTGCAAACATCAAAGCACCACAAATGTGTGACATCTAGTGACACTGGGTTGAGAAATGCCAATATAAATACCATATATCAAATTACCATTGTTTCACACCAGGATAAAAAGGGGGTGTGGGTGGTGGTGGGGTGGGGAGAGTTGTTCTGGAAAGAAATGAAAAAGAGCAGAATCAATCTCAAGCAGCCAAGTGAAGTAGAAGATGTGTGACCCCACGATCTCTCAGGTAGGCCGCCACACGGCCGGCTGCTAATGGGTCTTGGCAAAGGAAACGGGAACCGAGCGCCGTGGCTGGCGTATGCAACAGTGCGTTGGTGTTAACGGCAGACTGGGAACAACTGGTTTCTGTTGAGCTTGAGGCCACACGTTTCTCCAGAAGAAAAGTTCCCACGCAAAGTCGAAGTTGAGAGCTGCCAGGACCCTTCAGTACTCTTCCTGCTGCTGGGGCTGCTGTTCGTGGACTTGTTCCTCTGCCTCCGGCTCTTCCGGGTGACCCTCCTACAGCACAGGGGGAGAGGTTTCGGCTGGAATGATGGACGTGTGGGCGGCCCTGCAGAGGCCACAGCCCCACAACCCCTGCCCAGGACGGCATCTTCAGGCTGGGGGGGGGGGGCATGGGTGTAGGCACACCGGCCCCCCAGGCGCTTCCCCACTCCCAGGAGCCAATGCGCGCACCCAGACTGCTCAATGGACGGGTCATTCGCGAAAACACTCGTCGGGGTCTGCGCACCAAACAGTCCTCCTGTCTCGGAAAGACCTCTTCATAGAAGACGTTTCCTACTCTCCTGCCCTTGTGAAAGAGAACCGAATGCACTGCCTCACAAGCATCCTGACAACCACGAGGGAACCCACTGTGAGACAGCACTGGGCCCCGGGTCTCACCCGACCCCACGGGCCGGGGACGTGGAGCTTCTGATTCCTTCCCTGTCCTGCCCCAGTAGTATGTCCACCTGAAGCAGACCCTGTGCTGTGATCTGTTACTACTCTGATGCATGGACCCGGCTGGTTGCGGTGGTAAGGCAAGGAAGACACACGGGTTTGGGGGGCTTCTCCACCAGGGGGGCTCAGCAGCTGTAGCTCAAGGACTCTGCTCTGGGAAAGTGAGGCCTTGGTGCATCCTTCACTGACCAGGACCTGGAGGGGTGAGGTGTCCTGCTTGGCTCCAAAAGACCTAGTCATTGATTTGCCTGACCCCACGAACGCCAACTCCAGGGAGCATCAACCCTAGTCAGCTCGTTGATATTGTGACCTCACAGAGAATAGGCTGCTCTTATTACCCGAGCAGAGGGAGTGTGGCTAATGAGTACCGCCGATGGCTCCTTCAAGAAGGCACGCAGGGACCTAGAGCCACGCATGTGGCCCCTCACAGCAGGCACATGCACTCCTTTCTTAGCCAGAGACCCCTGCCTTCAGGTCTATTCCCTGCGCTTAGGACAAGCCAATCCAACCGACCGTAGTCAGTCTTCTCCCCTGAGCCACAGGTCTTTCTTGCCCTGGTCTTGGAGTGCTTTGTTTCCAGCTTGGCTATAAAACTTGGGCTTGTCATCTTGTCTCCACACTGTGGCTTCTGCCACTGGGTCCTGAGGTTACTCAAGGCACCAAGAGGGCCTCATCCATCTGTGTCCTACCTCATTTCAGAACTCAGTGCAGGTTGTGTTGAAGGGAAGAAATCCCCGAGGACAAAACAACAGAGGATTTGAGACTCTCAGCCAAGGTGCCATGCTGCATATTTTCTGAGAGGCAGTAAAATGTCAAGGTTCTAAACACGGGCTCTGGAGTTCATATCCTGGCTCTGCTCTTTACCAGCTGGGTGACTCTGGGCATGTAACTTAACTGCCCAGTGCCTCAGTTTTCCCATCTGTAAAATGGGGGATTGTAACAGGAGTACCCGTTGAACAGTTTTCCATAAGTTTCACTGATCGAGGAGTCAGTGGAGTCCTTGAGTTCAACAGAGAAGTCAAGGTAGGTATAGAACAGTGTTTGGTTCATAACACATACTTGTGTGAGCTGCAATTATTACTTCTTGGTGAGAGAACTCTCTGAAATACATTCTAGAAGTGAAAAAGTTTTAACAAGTCACCTTTTCTGGGACAGCAGTACAAAGGGCCATCACACTGAGGACCCTGGTTCAAATCTAGCTCTGTCCCTTTCTGGCTCGGTGTCCAGAGGCCTGTTACTTACAAACGGTCAGCTCTCTCCGTGCCCAGGCCCACACCCTATCAGCAGCACCCACAGCTCGCCCGCCTCTGAAGCGTGAAGGTCCAACACCCTACTCTGCCTGCACAATGCCATCCTTTGGCCCTACCCACCCCCCACTTGCTCCCGGGCCCTCATGGCAGCTGCCCTGCTCCTCTCTGCTCCGAAAGTTCGTGCCTCAACGGCGAGTGCCATTCTTGTGGGAGTAGGGGAGTAGTTCTTGCGGGGACTGTCACTGGCTTTTCCCAGTAAGTGCTCTCGCTCTTGTCTGGGGGCAAAAAAGAAATCTAGTGGTCGTGGGACTTTACCCAGACTGGTGACCTGGGAACTTGCAAGTGTCTGTTCTGCCAGTATTCCTGGCTGACCCCTCTTCACCCCAGAACCAATCACTCCTCTAAGCTTTCCATCCTTGTTCATGCTTCCATCAGGTTACAAGCTGCAGCCCCGAGTGTATGCGCGTGTGTGCGGGCTCACTGGCTGGCTGCACAGCTGCCTCTCTGGCTTAGTTCCCATCCCCTCTATGGGTCAGGGATGTTAATTCATCCATCATCCTAACCGTTCAATGCTAGTGTGGTGCCTTCATTTCACACTGCTAGGACTTCAGCAGGTCTCAAGAGTACTTTTCTTACCTGTTTTGTGCGTGTTAGGCTGCATGGAAGATCTCAAAAAGGAGGATCCGTATGACATTTTACAGAAAATCTTATTTGCTCACATCACAACTGGGAGTTAACCCAGGACGGAACATCAAAGCTTGGATTCAAATACTGTGAACCTGTACCAAGCTGTAGGACCAGGAACCTCTAAGATCAGACCTCACCCCTGGCCTCCCGTTTATACTTGCCCAGCCAGGGGGCTTTGTGGTCTCCAGCTTGTCGAGGGCAGTTCCCTCAGTCACAGGGCCCCATTGTGATGCCCTCCATCTGCAGGAACTGCAGACCCCAGGCCCCTCTTACTGGGATAAAGAGCAAACCTCCCAGCTTACCAATGGATTGCTAATGCTAGGGGTACAAGCTAAGGTGGTCTGAAAGTCTGCAGACGAATCTTTAATTCTGAGGCAGTTACACTGCATAGCACAGCTGAGTGCTCCCACCTCACACGATACCGTGTAGGCTGGCTCACAGAAAAAAAAAACTGTCTTCTTACACCCCATACAAGAAAACAAACACACATGTAAGCAGGAGGCCAGACAAAACTTATGCCAGATATATGACCAATGCCCTGGAGTGCCACCTGCTTAATTCTAATATTTGCATATCAATCCATCACATCTTTCTGAATGTTTAGCTGTATCCTTAGAGTTCCTTATTCTTAAGGAAGGCCCCCTCCTTCCTAGATGTACAGGCTCAGCTGCCCCCACGCACCCCAGCCTCATCCAGCCATTCTTTCCTCTGGCCTCTGTCCATGCTGTTTTCTCTGCCTGAAAAATCCTCTCCCTGCCTTAGCTCCAGGACTGCTGAGGGTCCTAGTCGTTCTTTGAAGCCCACACAAACGTCCTCTTCTCTGTCAAGTAAGTCTTTGCTGTCTCTCCAGGCTCCTTGTCCGTGATCACCACCCAAGTTTCTGTGTCTGTGATCACATGTATCCTACTCCAAGATACTCCAGTCAGTGGTGCCCCGTCTGCCTGCCTCACTGAGGCAGTGGCTCTGTCCCCTTTACGCACACCCCGTGCTTCCTCCAGTGACAGAAACACAAGCTCTTCCTAAGAGCTCTTGGTTGAGGGGGGAGGAATCGTTAGGTCACTTAACAGTGGCTTCTGTGACAGTGCCTCAGGAAATAAGTTGCCCGTTTGTATCAGCAGGTACACCTCAGCTGACAGATGGACAAGGCGGCAGTTAACCAATGAATAAGCCGAGATACCTGTGGCCCGTGAGGGAAAAGATCCTGAAAATGATAAAGAGAGGCACTGGAGAGATGTCAGGTGATCTGCTCTGGAACCTTCCATTAAGTTTCTACAACTGTGAACTGAACTGCGCCTGTTTACTGCTGCACACGCCCTGCTATCTGCATTTCTGTATCTTCCAAACATTCTATTCTAGGATCGTCTGACTCGGAGAATCAAAGGCCAGCCGCCATCAAATCAAGACTTAAAGAGGCCTCTCCAGCAAACACCTGCACCTGAAATGTCCACGTAGGGCTCATCTGTGTTTTCCTGAGGAATAGGCACTCAGGCAGGAGCACACTAAGAAGGCAGGAATCTCCCCTGGGGCAGCCCTGCCTATCGGCTGCTGCCACCAGCATTCAGTGGCCCGTGTCAACTCTGAATTTGGAGTTGGAGAGCGCCCCTGTACAAGGACTCCGTCTGGGGAGACTGGGGACAAGATCCGGCTTGAGGTGACCATCGCAAGAGTTTTCCTCCTGCCGACAGCACAGGGCGGGATAGATCTGGCCCTGCACGCTGCCGTCCTCCCTCAGTGGGCCTGGTCCTTCAGCTACACAGTGCTGGGGAGACTGCATTGGATTTAGCCTCCCACAAGCTTGTGAAGAGAATAACTGTAATTCACATAGTACCTGATAGACTACCAAGCACTCAGGGGGGTGCGGGCACACTAGACATCAACCGGAGGTTTCTGCCATCAGATCTGAAAATACGGAGAACCATATTTTGTGGAGCCATCGCTGCCTCTGGGACCTGGCAAGGCAGCGTCCCAGGACTTCAAGATCTATAGTCTGAGCCAAAGATAACTGAGAAAAAAGCTTAAAAAAACCAAGCCCCCCCCCCCCCCCCCCCCTGAGGAATGAAAAAAGTGGAGAGGCCTCAAACCTTGGATTTCACCCCTCGAATTCCAAATCTTACATGGAGTAAACATTTGTCTGGTACTGGGCTGGAATAAGTCATAAAGTGCCCTTGCCGGTGACTTGTTCCATTCTGTCCAAGTGCTAACACACGCAACTCGACCACCGGGCTCTGGGTGCGGCCCCAGGCCTCCTGGGCCAACAGAGTCAGACTCTTCCACCAGCTTCAACACAGCCTCAGGAAGAGCTTGAGGCCCCCGCCTACTCATCTGCGTCTTCCACAGGGCGGCTCTGTAGAAGGTGACGCTCCTTCAGGCTCCCACGCTGGTCTTGGTGCCGGGGCCCCTCACTCCCTGCACTGGCAGACGACTTCTCCCGCCTTGCCTTGCCTTCCCCTCCTTGATTCTTGAGAGTTTTGGTCCTCTGCTGCTCCTCACACCTGCTTTCCATCACCAGGATGGATCCACCTCCCGGGTCCCCGCCTTCCTCATGCTCCTGAGTAGCAAGCCCGACAGCCAGGTCTTCCCCGCAGTGAATTCTAAAAGCGTTTTTCAACTGAGGGCTGTTGTACAGCACCGGTCTGTGCTGGCAATGAGTAACCGAGACAACCGGCTCTGAAATAAAAACCGTCGGGCTTGCGGGGATGCGAAAAACACTTAGACTGATTCCTCCTCAAACCATACTCTGATCTGTCATGAAGAATCCTTACATCTACTTTTATTGCTCATCTGCTCAGAGCTGCAAACCACTTAAGATCTGGCTGCATAAACCTAGTTTTCTCCATCATCCCTCCTACTCTCCCCCTCCCACCCCCATCCACTCATCTCTTCCCAGGTCAATTCACGAACACACATCCCACAAGCAGGGGTCAATGGATCACGATGATGAGGACACTTATTCCTGAGGGAACAGCACACGCACCGGAGGAGTCCTAATCCTCAGGGATCCCAGGGCAGCACCCGAAGACACACAGACTGCTGCACCTTGACCAAGAGCATCGCTTTAGAAGCCAAGAGTCAAGGGCTCGCCTCACACTTACGTGTTCTTCCGAAGCATAGAGGACTTCCATTAGTCGCTGCACGAGGTCGTCGTTTTCCTGCCCGTGCTCTTGACAGAGTAGCTCAATCTCTCTCAACTTGCCAAAGTAGAAATCCCTTTCCTTTTCCACACCTTCAAGGGCAAGTTTTAATGAATGTACCTGCAAGGGAGTGAGGGTGGAAAGAAAATTCCCCCAAAATCCGGTATAAAAAATGTGACCAACTACACCTGCCTATAACATGTGAAACATGCAGAGACAGATGTGCCAAAATGACTACGAGGCAATGGAGCTTGAGCCTGGGCCACAACGTCCAACTTCAACAACACACTAGTCCTTCCCTCTGCCAACTGAGTGTTCATAACCACTGTCCGAGGGATTGTTCTGCTCAAGGTGGTTGCGTCCAGACCCTGAATGAGCCTTCCTCCTCTCTTAACACAGACTAGGGCACATCCTTCTACTCTGTCCAGCCTCTGCAAAGAGGGGAAGCAGAGGAGAGGGCTAGCACTGTGGTTACTTGAGATGTATTCTGAGGACCCTACTTTCTTCAGGTAACCATATTTTGTTGTGGAGCCCTTCGTAAATGTTCCTGAGCCACACTAGGCAAAGTCTTTCTACTGAGAAACTGCGTCTTAGCTACATGAGGGAAACTGGGCAAGACTGAAAGCGTGGCTCAGTGGATCTGTTTCAATTCCTCTGGTTCTAGCTTTGGGGACATCGTAGGAAACAGGGGGAAGACTACAAGAAGGAAGCCCCATTCCCTCAGAATATTAGCCCTTGTTCCCTTTTTCCCTGGGATGCTGGTTCCAGGACCTCCCAGGGCTGGGTGGCCTCTCACAGTGATTATGGAGATGGCGCCAGGGAAGGAGCCAGCAGTGAGGCAGTGTCACCCGGGCTGAAGGAAAGCTGACAGTGCCCCACTCCTACGAGCACAGTAGCTACTCACAGGCCTAAACCATGACCCTGTTCCTGCTTCCCGAGAATCCCTTTTTTTAAGCCCCTTGTGCATTTATATTTACACAGACAATATTTGTCAGGAGGTAAATTGAATCTTTCATGGTCTCCATCAGGTGAAATCTCTCATTCAGTGTATTAAAAAATCACCCTAACGGAATTTCCAAAAATGACATTTGGAATGGGAAATTGTCTTCTCTAGTAATCCTGGGCCTTTGGACATGCTATTTATCAAACGCTTACCAAACATCTGCAGTGTTGGTCCCCTTCCTGCACACCCGGCATAGGCCTCGGGGATATGGCCCCTCAGAGTTCACCTCACTGCCTCCCTCACCCGCTGCTCAAAAAGCAGCTTTCCCTAGCTTTCACTTTTATTTTTGATGATGCTATGGTTGGGATATTTCTAAGAAAGGAAGGCAACCAGTAGCCTCAAGTCCAGGAAAAAGAAAACTTCCCTTTTTCTAGAAATCCTTCCTTGCTTTACAACAAACCACCCTCCTCCCCAGGCTTGGCCACAGAATCCCTCTGAAGCCTGCATTGGTGCCAGTGGACAGATCTCTGGCAGTTGAGGAGTCTTGAGTCTGTCAGCGCTCCCTGAAGGAGGCAAGAAGGGTCTCTGGAGTACTTCAACCCATGGAAACTAGGTGTGTCTGCCTCTCGAGGGTGCTTTGGTCTGTACAATGTGCAAAGAGGTGAGGCTTTTGTAGAAATATCCAGTCCAGGTTGGCGTTGGGTGGTATTCCAGATCGCCAGGCAATAGATACACAGCTATAGACATCCCTGGTAAAAAGTGATAGAGGCCCAAGTATATGAGGATAGCCAACTGGCAAAGGAGAGGCCATGTTCACGGTCGCACTCATGCAGAGTGATGCCACCCGCACCCTCAAGTATCAAACCAGAAGCCTAAGTGGTGGAGGGGATGCTGGGGATGGACCCTTGAGTAAGTCAAGAGGAAGAGACAAGAGGGGGGACGTTCTCTTCTCCCAGTTCTCCCCTCCCTCAGTGTCTGCACACTGCACGTCCTCCTAGGGAGGCCGCCCAAGCCCCAGCATCCGTCCAAGCCAACTGACGCCCACTCTCCAGCCCCCAGGGGTCCCTGAGCGCAGTGGTGGCTCCACCCTACTTCCTGTTTGCTAACCCACTTGCCATAAATGGCCCCTAATTATTTCAGTTATGTCTTTTTCTCCCCTTTTGATTCATTTCTATCATTGGAATTGTCTAGCACAGTGGTACTTTTATAGCATGTCATGGGAGAATGCCTGAATAGAGGCAGGAGGCCAAGAAAAGGAGAATTCTTCAAGTTTATGGCACTCGTCACTTTCTCTATTATGACATGTAATTCACTCTCCAGCCTAGGCATGTCCTCGTCCTAGAGTCCCGAGTCCCAACACAGCAATGCCTCTGCGGCTACCCATCAGCTTTAGGGAGCCACCCTGCAGGTTACAAGGGCAGAAAATGGAGGGGGCAATAATAGATAACCATGCAAATGGGTCTGGGTAAGTGTTCAGTAAACAGTTGAATGAATGCTCACAATCTGGGGTGTGTATAACCTTCGCTCTGAGGGACTGGGGAGGGGAAGAGATGGGCACACTCACTCCTCCCTGATGTAAATGCATCAGGGGATAGGTGGGGGAGTGAAGCCCTTTGGAAGTAATAAAGGAATTACAGGACCATTGGGAAGTCCCTTCCCTCTCGAGAGTGACATTCTGGATGGTAGGATGAGGTCTGGGTTCCTTGGGGATGGGAGGCTCTTTGTGTAAACGGACAGCTAATGAGTGTAGAGCCAGCCCCAAGGAGAGGCAGTGGGTCTGGTGGACTAAGGCTGAATGGCAGAGGGGCAGGAAGGGTCTTGAGGTTTCTGTGTGGTTATACTTTGGGTTGGAAGTTTGGAGACCAGGGTGTGGTAGAGGGGAAACAACAGGGAGGAGAGAAATCATGACAAAACATGAGATAATCAAGATATCAAAAGAACTTGGGTTTCTATAAGAAAAGGGTTATAAATCTAAAGCATTATAGACCCACACCTGAATCTCTTTAGGTCTACCCTGATTTGCTCTGAGCCTTAGGCATGTGGCCCAAGGCTCATTATGGCTGTCGTACCTGCCTTTTATGTGAGAAAAACTCATTACTGGGAATACCATATGGGCTCAAACTGAGAATGAGCAGGTAATTAGAACATTCCAGAGTTTCTAAATCAAAGTCCTGCCCATTGGATAACTTAAGGTTTCACTATTTTCATTAAAGTGATCAGAACTGTAAAGAAATACCCTAGCTAAGCAGCTGCCTGCTTTTAAACTAGATTCTTGATTGCAAATATACAATTATCTCAAAAATGGTTTCCAGACTCTTGCTGGCTCATCAGGAATCCGATTAATCATTGGGAATGGCCCAGCCACTTGGCTGGGAACAGCCTAAGAACCTTGAATAGAAGCTCCTCTCCGGGTAGTGGGAGTAGCCAGGATAAAAGACTCTGCAGCTCAGGGTCAGGGCGGGTGGCTTCTTCAGTGGGCCTCATGCTACCAATCGTTTTATTACCTTTAAGCTACATATAATCTCAGGCAAAATTAGCTATCGTTAGGTAGAAAGCATACCTAAACTTTTATATGGAAATTTTCAAAGGCAGCAGAGCTAGATCTACCATAACCATGAAGAATGTTAGACGAAAAGGAAAGTTCTTCGCCTTCAACCACAACCGTGGCCTTCTGATCCCCCAGTATTGGGGTCAGTGCTTCTGTGGCATCAAACATGTGCTGTCGTGGCAAGCATTAGGTTCTCGCTTTCGTTTGCACGATCACCTACCCCGTACAACTGCTGTAAGCTCCAGGGGGGGAAGGGTTAGCTATCTCACTACCATTATATTAGCACCAAGCACCGAGTCTGTCACACAGAACAAGCTTAACAAATAGCTTGTGCAGGAAAGGAAGGAGGAAGAGAGACTAAAGTCATGAATGCTATCTCGACCGGCCAGAAGTGGGCAGACAGTCCAGAGTCTGGCCTGGAGCTCCGGACAGGCACTGAGGTGTGGGGGAGGGGGATGCTGCCTACAAACCTGCATTTACCTTCTGTCTTAATGTACAGCTTTGGGATTTTTGACTAACGTCTTATATTCCTGGCAGACCGCTGGTTTCATCTGCCTGAACGATTCCTTTTATTCTTAATCATTTGGAACCAGATTCCCTCACCTGCCCTCCCTTATCTCAGGCCTACAGGTGTTTGGTCCCTCCCCTCTCAGAGACAGGGCCAGGGCTGAGGGGTTGGTTACCTGTTCATTAAGCTGTATGACCTGCGTTTCTAAATCTTTATCAGATTTGGATGCTGAGCTGCTGGATGAAGCCCTTTTGGCTGATGAGGGACGAGAAGGTGTAGATCCCGGCTTAGATGCCGGACTTGATTTAGCCGCACCTGAAAGTAACCAGAATAGATTATAAATACGGGCAACATTAGAAATGCTTTTTAGATACACTGCAAATGTATAAAGGAGTTACTAAGAAGTATAAAAGCTATCCCCAAGGACTCTTTCCAATCACAAAAGTAGCCTACATACACTTAGAAAAAGCACCAACGTTAAAAGGACAGTGCCATCTTTGGCAACTTATTTAATCTTTCTGAGTACTTTCCTCCCCCTCAAGTTAATAGGAGATTAAGCTGTCCTTTGTGCCTCTGGTGAGAGAAGAAAAACTGATTTAACTAAGAGATTTTAAGATTTTTTTTTTTTAAGAGGAAAGGTTCTGAGATAACCTCAAAGCATCACCATAGTTGAGTTTCTAACAAACAACAAAAAAGAATTTATAACATGAATACTTTAGAAAAAAATTCAGAGCAAGTGTAGGTTTTTTTCTCTTTTGTTTCCTAGTTTAGCCACTGAAAGCGCCTGGGAGCAATGACATCTCCATAGCAGCGTGTGTTCCAGGTGCCTACGTCCTGGTGTCTAAGTTTTATTCTGCAGTAAGAGCTTCTTGAGAGATAGCAGACTCCGTGGGTGGGGCAGGAAAGGTATGGCGTGAGCCTGGGACACCTTCTTGTGTCGCAAAGCAAGGATGTGCTCAGGACTAAGGTCAACGGGAACAGGGGCCAGTTTGAAGGTGCTTCCAGATAGCCACAGCTGGGACAGTTTTACATGTCAAAAGTGTAATGGCTCTCATGTGCTAGAACACACTGAATAAATAAAACTCCAGTCTATAATGACGGAGAAAGGAGGGAGGGAGGGTATAAAGATCTTTACAGAACACATCTAGTAAATGCAGAAGAAATGTTAGAACTTGAAAAATCATGACAATACAACAAGCATAACTGATCCAGGAAAGGCTCAATGACGGACTCTGAAACGTTAAGTGGGAAGTCTGGAGGGAAAAAGACATTCATGTGTGTCAAGATATTGGCCTAGGATTTATTTACTACAATGGAAGAAAGATACGCCTTTACAGCAGGGGCCGGAGCGGGGCGTTGTCTGGGGCTCAGCATCGTAAGTAATTAAACAGCATCACTAATGATGATAGAAGCTAGGGGAAAGAAGGTCCTTAACATCAGGTAAGAGCTCACCCACCAGAAGCTCAGCTCCTAATAGGTGATCACAATCTAGAACATGACACAGACATAGGCAATGGCTTCTGCAGCCAAAACAGAAGCAACAAGGTAGATGTGGTGATATTTACACACGTTGTGGATTAAGAAATTCAGGGTCATTACCCACGGCCCACCCAGGCCCTTTTACTCTGAACAGTCTCGACCATGTGGTAGCTCAGGCTGGTGGAGAGGCTCCTCTTATGTATTTCCATTAGCCCTATTCCCCACCACATCCCGCACACTCTTCCTCCAGAAGGCTCCGGGAACACAGGGGCCAGTGTTCATCACCTTTGCAACCCCAGTACTTAGCACCATGCTGGGCTGAACCGGTATTTAGTGAAGGTACAAATGTTGAAATGAATACATGAACAAGTAAATACAACGTGGTTATGCGGTTTGCAGTCTCAAGGTTTATCAGCACAAACAGATCAGAAACAGGCAGGGGGGTTATGAGGCCAAGTGTACTGACAGCAGTTACAAGTTTCGACTAATCTCCTAATTACAAAGTGGCAAACAGGAAGAGTTCCGGTGCCTGGAGTCATCAGTTATAAACATGAAGTCATACGCCCCCTCAGGAAGCACTGACAACATCATACCCTTTAAAATCCGTTACAAAGAAAAGAGAGAATTTTCTTCTAAAAATACAGGGAAAGGCCTAATATATTTTAAAATGAAAAATTAAATTGGGAAGGACTTAAAATATTTGACTATCTGAAGGTAAATCTTCAGGGACCTGGAAACCTGGCCCATGCAGAAGACCTTCCCAAGGATTCTAGAGAGCTGATGCTCTGCTTCACATCAAGTTGCAAGGACCCTTCATCTCTGCAGGAGCCCACAGAAAACACTCCTCGAACACCACTTCCGGCCCCACTGGCCAGGCTCTGTACAGGCCATGCCGGCAGGGTAGAGAAAACTGTGTGGATAACAACAGAGGAGGCAGGGTGAGGACATGCTGACCTGGCAAAGTGCCTCCTCTGAGGGCAGCTACCAGCCAGCCTCGCTGAGGGAGAAGCTTCTGAAAAATCAAGTTACTTCAGGCCTTTTTATCAGCAATACATCGTATTTTAATATCCATCATATCTGACAGAGAGCAGCTTCCAGAGGGAGGTTCAACACCTCTTATTTACTAAATACAGGTTTACCCGGTACCTACCATGAACCACGTCCCACTGGAGATCCCTGCTCTCCAGGAGCTCAGGGTCTTATGGAGCGACAGCTGTGGACAAAGGCCCGGGCACGGCCACACTCACCGTACCCAGGGACAAGGCAGTGTTCCCGACCACATGACCACAAAGCATGATTCATGCTGCGACCCCCTCGCCTCAAACACTCCTCTTCCCCTCTGAGGGACTAAGTGTAGCGCCCTGCAGATATCCGCCTGGACGATGCCGCTCCGGGAGGCCGCAGCACCTGTCCCTTGTAACCGCACAGCCGTTTGTGCCTATTCTCCCATTCCAGTCTACAGGTAGGGGTTGCATCTCTTTTACCATTTAATGTTCCCAAGGCCAAGCTCCGTGCCTGACCCAGAGGCCACGCTCAATAGACGTTTTTATCAATAACGTTAAAACCACTCCAAGGAGAGGTATCTATCCGGGTCAACAAACCGGGGAGAGCTCAAGGGGCTGAGGCCAACGTCCAAGTCACTGGCAATACGTGAAGGAGACCAAACAAAACATCATCAAGTTCCCCCAGAGAGCTCCTACTTGGTTTTCAGATCCTCTTCTGTTATCACCTGGGCCCTTCTAGATGGAACCAGGACAAAGCTCACGTAGGGAAATCGAGTCAGTAAGCATTTAAGTCTGAGTAGGCAGGGGCAAGCTAGTTTGTACCGTGCCGTCCAAGTCAACGCCATGTTCATTACCTCTTCTGAAGCAAACAGCGCCCCGCAGAAGGGGCTTCCCTAGAGTGCGTGACCCACCCTGGGCACTTCTCCCTAAGCAGGGCTGCGGCTAGGATGTGGCTCGTTGCAACAGCTGACCTACGTTCATCAGACACTCATTCTCACACCCTGCCCTATCCAGCCCCACGTAAACTTTAAAAGAAAAACACAGAAGGAATAGAAACCTGACTGCTTGTAAAAGCCACTACTAATTATATTTTTAGGACATCATCAAATGCAGCTTGAGAAAAAACCTGAAATGAAGCAAAAGTGGAAGGGTCGTGGGCAAGCCAAAGCCCTCTGCGAGATCAAGTTATCAGGAAGAGAACTATGAATAAGCAGAGGAAGCTCGCTGGGGAGGAACAGGGGGCCACAGGAGACCCTACGTGGCTCCCGGGGGACAGGCCGGAGCTGCTGCAGTGACTGATGCTGCAGTGGCAGGTACGGCTTCTTTCCCCTGTCTCATGGATTCTGTCCAGGTTGGCTGGGGTGCACAGTCCCCATCTTTCACCTGGTACACATGCATGCAGCTTGTGGCTCTCTCAAGATGACAGAGATGAAAACCATGGAATCGCCTCCACCCCGCCCCGGACAGTCCCTCACAGGCTGGAGAAAGGAATGGAAAATACATTTGAAAGACTGAGTTAACAGAGGAAGTAATTAGTATTTGAAATTTAAAATCAGGGGTTTTGAAATTGTGATTAAATTGTTTGGAAAGAAACTGATAACAAAGGGAAATAAATGTCTAATGAATAAGGTGTGAGAGGGCAGTGCTAGTCAACTGTGCTTTTATTTTTAAATGTTTATTTTGAGTGCACGTGCATGCACTCAAGAGAGAGGGGGAGAGAGAGAATCCGAAACAGGGTCTGTGCTGTCAGCACAGAGCCTGACGTGGGGCTTGATCCTGGGAACCATGAGATCGCGACCTGAGCCCAAATCAAGAGTCGGACGCCTGATGGACTGAGTCACCCAAGTGTCCCGTCAACTGTGCATTGACACTGCTTCTAAGGGATGAAGAAATTAAAGAACAGGAAGGCCGTACAGAAGATCTTAGTATCGTCAGAGGTTTAAAGTTTTAAAACCTAGACAATTCAGCATTAAACTAAAAGCTCATTTTTCGAAAGAAAATAAAGTGAGCTCTTTAAATCATAACAAGCTATAATCTGATGTGGAAGTAATCTACCCCTCACAGCTATTTCTCACATTGAGAAATACTAAATAGTAAAATTCATAAAAGTAAAAATGAAGGCTTTTGTTCATTCTATTTAATGATTTCATGGTTTACTTTTTAGAACAGTAAACGATATCCTAAGGTATATGACACCCATTAGACTGTTAAGAACTGTATTTTTGTTTATTTGCTCTGAAAGTCTTGCTGTCTCCTTTCAAGCAAACATACTCCAAAGTGTACCCAGCTTCTGGGGTGCCAGATATTATTCTGCCATTTACCTGGGCTGCTAGAATAAGGATGTTATTAGAAAATTGTAATTATCAATATCAGCAAATTTAACATTGATCTATTACTTTTATGTAAGTTACCATGTAGATTCCAATTTTGTGAAATGACCCAATAATGTCCCGGATAGCATCTATCCCGGCTTCAGATATCGGGGTCCTCAGTAGCTGCCTTCCTGCTTCCTAAGAACGCACCCAGGGCCACGGTGACTTCACTTCTGTGCCTTCCCATGCTTCTGTGCTCAGTGATGCTTACATGAAAAACATTTACATAAGGGCTTTTAAAGAGAGTACAGCTCCTTCAGCTATACGGCAGATATTTTTTTTTTTCCTCGCAGCTATCAACCATTCCAAAAATTTTTTTGAAGCTGTATTTGATGTCCTGAAAACATAATTAGTGGTAGTCCTGTTTTACAAGAATTTTTTTTCCCTCAAGCTTTTCTCTCTCTCCCTAATTTTCCCTTTCAAAATAAAAAGGAGTTTCAGAAGCAGAGAAAAATAGACA